TTGGATGAGGACGCCGCGGGCCGGATCTGACCGCGCACCGCACCGGAACCTCCCTCCGCCTCCACCGCCCATGCCGGCCGTCGGGGCGCGGCGCTCCACGCGCGTCTTCCTGCCCCGGGCGCACAAGCAGGCCCCGCGCCCGCCGGAGCCCGCCAGGGTCACGCGCTCCGCCAAGCGCCTCGCCGTCTCCTCCCACTCCCACTCCCACTGGCTCGGGTGGGACCGCGCCGCCGCCGACGTCAGCGACGACGACGGCGATGACGAGGGCCCCAAGCCGCGCACGCCGTCGCCCGAGCCGCCCATGTCGCCCAGGTCCTTCGGGGCCGTGTACAGGCGCAAGCGCCGCCAGAGGCCGCCGCCGCTGGCCGAGCCGGAGGACTTCGGCGACGGCGGCAGCGGCAGGAGGTTCGGGATAGTCTTCACCAGGAAGCACAAGCGGCCAAAGCTCGCCCCTTTCAGCCATGCCGGCGGCCGCGACATCCTGTGCTCCTCTTCAAGGGAGTTCGCTTCGAGGGCCGGGCTCCTTGAAGACGCTCATTTACCTGATGGCGCTGCCGGCAGTCGCAGTGCCGTGCTCGTCGTCCTCGTGGACGGCGCGTATTCCCCCAGGAGCTCGAGCCGGTTCTCGCGCTTCCTCCTGCCTGTGCTCCTGTGGCTGCGCCGGCGCCAGCGGAGCCATGTCCGGGGCCTGGCCTCATTTCTTATGGCCTCGCCGGCTGTCGCCACCGCGTTTGCGTCGCATGGGGTGCACTTTATCAGGCTCCAGCGCCAGAGAGCCGTAAGCAGCTTCTGTTACAGTATACAGCTTCTGTTCATTCTTGTGCCTCCATCATCTGTTACTTCCCTGTGCAGCCTGTTTGATTGATGTCGGTATTTTCTTCATGTAGAGTGCATTGCTGTTACAGCGGACTATGGTGGTGCACTGCGGGTGGTGCGAGCTCCGTGGTGCTGGCCCATCCCGGCAGCCAGTGTTGTCGCTCAACTTCTCGGCGCTTCCTTCTTACTTCCAGGGCTTGCATTCCGTGATAGCTCTTCGTTTCATATATCTGCCAGCCGTGATTCGCCGGGCCATGGGTTTGGTTGGAGGAGCTGAAGAAGAATCGTATTCTCGAGATCATCTGGAGGTGGATTCTGGGTCTCCAAGCACCGGGGACGCTACACCTGCTGTCGGATCTTACGGAGCGGTTCTGGATTATGTGCCCCTTGAGCAAGCTCCAGGAGTAGTGCTGCATGGTCTGAGGCTGAAAAAGCACCAGAGGAAGCGAAGCTCGATGAGGCACCCCCTGAGCCGGCGCCGCCGTCTCACAGTGAGATTTTCTGACAAGGATTTTGGAGTGAAGGAGGCTACAGTGCGCTCTCAGACGGAACTGCAAAAGCCACCATTGACGGGTGGCCCTGAGGTTTCCGAGGAACCTGTCCAGCCCAAGCCAGCAATGGAAATTTCTCTTGATCTGCTTGAGAACATGGATGACAGCGATGTCTCGACGCCCATGGGACCAAGTGGGAAGCAAAAGAGATCCTTTTTCAAAAGCCCCGTTGATCGCACGAGTGAAAGGCTGGCTCTGTCCGAGGTTAGACAGAATATAGATACCTTCTGCTGCAAAGCAAACCTCTTGATTATTCAGGCTGACAGGTGCTGGAGGGAAGAGGGAGCTGAGGTTATGCTGGAACTATCAAACTCCAACGGGTGGTGCGTGGCTGTGAAGTTACATGGTGTCACTAGAGTCTCTCTTAAGCCATCGGAGCAGCGGTTCTATGTTGTCAACCGGCACACCCATGCCTACGTCTGGGCAGTCGAAGATGGATGGAAGCTTGAGTTCCCTGACAAATGGGACTGGCTTTTGTTCAAAGAACTGCATATCGAGGGACGGGAGCGCAATTCTCAGGGAAAGATTATCCCGATTCCAGGTGTGCTTGAGGTCTCCAATGGCATGGGAGGGACTGTAGCAGATCCTTTCTCACGCCCTGTGCCAGACTATATTAGAACCATTGATGATGAGGTTGCGCGGGCCCTCTCGAGAGATTCAGCTTATGACATGGACTCGGAGGATGAAGAGTGGCTCATTCAGCTGAAGCATGGGGCCTCCGATAGAAGACGCACCCGTCTGAGTCAGATTTCCTACGAAGATTTCGAGAAATTAATAACCTTGTTCGAAAAGGACGCCTACAATAATCCTGAGGAAGCTAATGATGTGGATCAGCTTCTCTCCAGGCATCCTGCTTTAGGCAAGGGTGACAATGTCCTTGCCATATATGAATACTGGATTAATAAGAGAGATAAGAAAGGCACACCACTGCTTAGGATATTCCAGGTAATTTCGGAGTTTATCCCTTGCCCAATCCCCTGATGTGATCTTTATTACAGCTATCCTTCTTTTTTTGTTTCTGTGCATTCGTTCATATCATCTAACCCAGCGAATTTGATTTCCCAAAGGGTGCACCTGCTGTAAGGCGAGGGCGGCTGTCGCAGAAATCTTCTGTAAAAAAGAAGAGATCTGTGAAGAGACCACAAAGAAGCCAACCTGGCCGAGGAAAGCCTGGATTCTTCTTGCAAGGTATTTAAAGCTCTGTAACATGCCCTGCTTTTGGATGGTGCACAAATAATTTTTTGACTTTGCTGTACGCAAATCGTGTTGCTATAAATCTTCTGTGACTGGAACCACCATGTCTTGTCCTTTTGCGTTTGCCATTTGACATAGTAACATTTAACCTCACTATGACCGAAAAGGGTGAACATTGTCGAGCTCAGGGATATAGCATGTCTGTTGGCATTCCCTTAGTTGTATATCTATTCTACCTCGGCATTCAGCTGCTGAAGTTATGGAACAATCGAACCTGTAAGGTATTTAAAGCTCTGTAACAAGCCCTGCTGTTGGATGCCACAAAATCATATTATTTGGCTTTGCTGTATTCAACTTGTGATGCTAGAAATCTTTTGCTGGGAACCACCAATATGTAGTAACTTTATGTCTTGGCCTTTTCTGTTTGCCATTGGACATTGTAACAAGTAGAGCTCATTATGCCCGAACGGAGTAAACATCATCGTGCCCAATACGTAGTATGACAACCCCCTTAGTTTTATATCTACTCTACCTTAGCATTCAGTTGCTGAAGTTATTGGACAGTCTAACTTAATAAGGTATTTCAAGCTCTGAAACAAGCCCTGCTGTGGGACACCACAAAATCTTTCTTTGACTTTGCTGTATTCAGGCTGCGATGCTAGAAATTATTTGTGACAGGGAACCACCCATGACTTTATAAATATGTGACGTGTGTGTCTTGTCTTCTTGTGTTTGTCATTTATTTGACAAAATAGTAACAAGTAAACTTCATTATGCCTGAACATAGTAAGCGGATATCACCGTGCTCAAAATCATCCTCTTAGCTGCCTGTATATATCTATAATGCCCTGTAATTTAGCTGTTCAAGTGATGTAAAACAGTCTTATCTAGCCTGTACTCATTGTCCTTGTGTTGTGCATTTTGCTGTGTGCAGGTGGCGAAGGGGAGGCCTTGCAGAGGGTGGTGGAAGCCGACCGCGCTGCGAAACAGGCCGTAGAGAAGGCCGTTCAGCTGCGCAGCAGAGCCCAGGCCCTCATGGAGAGGGCCAACCTGGCGGCGTACAAGTCGGTGATGGCCGTGAGGATCGCGGAGGCCGCAAGCGTGTCTAACAAGTGCCGGGATTTCGTGTGGAGGAGCCTCGACTAGCCCTGTGAATTTTTTTGCTCCTTGATCCGCCGTGTGTGATATAATTGGGCTAGGCTGCGAGGCTGTATTTTTTTTGTACCCCCTCCTCTCCTCCGGTTGTAACTATGCGAAGAAGAAGAAGAAGCGGAGTTGATGGATCCCGAGCCGGACTCGGACTCGGAGACGAAGAAACTGTAATTCGTTGTGTAAATGATAGTTTGGTTAGCTAGATGATGATGATGGACTCACCATTCCTGACAATTCTGTATGTTACATGTACCGCCCATGTTTTGACAGAGGAAAAAGGAAAAAAAAAGACCCCGAGGTATTGCTTGAGCAGAGAGGAGGGGAAACAGTTGAATGATTTGAAATGAATGGATGGATCATCTGACGAGAGTGGCTTGCCATGTTTCCTGAAAACTCCCAGCATGAATGAATCATCTGATGAGCTGCTGTTGGGTGGGGGTTTGTCTTATCAACAGAGATGCATCTCTGTCTCTTGTCCCATGAATCTTGGAAGATTGGAGCATCCACTCTGCTGCGTGAATAGTAGTTATGTTGGAGAGTGTGGTCAGTTTGTAATAAAATGCCACCAGTATCTTATAATTTTATTATTTCACCTTGGCAAAGTAGTAACTAGTATATTGTGTTGCTTAGTTTCCATCCATGTGTATATTTGGATGCTTGTTTAGCTTGTTCTGGTGCGTATGCTTTGTCGAGTGAAGTCTGATTTAAACCTTGAGGCTTCGGGGGGCTCGCTTCCCCTCCTTGTGAATGCATAATACTCCTGAGAACATGGGCGTGGATCTAAATAACTCCACAACTTGATTATCTTGGCAAAGTAGTAGGTAGTATATTGTGTTGCTTAGTTTCCAGCCATGTGTATACTTGGATGCATTGCAAGCGTGTGAATTTGCTTTGTCGAGTGAAGTCTGTTTTAAACCTTGACCTTGAGGCTGTAGGGGGCTCGCCTCCGTGTGTATGCATGATACTCCTACTTTGTGGAGAACATGGGCATGGCTCTAAATAATCCCACAGCTTGATTATCTGGTTGCTGTCTTTTTTGTTTTGTGCATTCATCAGGAGATAAAAGAGAAGTTTTGCAAGTGCAAAAAAATGGTAACTTTGAGCCGGAAACATGTGGCGAGAGGAGGAGCGAGCGATGAGATGATCCTTCCAGAGTGGAGTCTCCAGACGGAGAGAAGCGGTGTGAGGCGGAGGTGTTCCCCTCCTCCTCTGGTCGCTGCCTCTCGCCTTATCCCCCTCTCCTCCTCCTTTTCCCCTTCCCCGCTCGACCCACCCACCGCGCCGGCGATGATGTCGATCACCTCCGCCGCTGCCGCCGCCGCCGCCGGCAGCCCGGTCTACACGCCGCTCGTCTCCAGGGGCGGACGGCGCAGCAGGTGCTCCGTCCGAGCCCAAGGTACGCGTTTCTTCCCAACCAACCCCCCAATCCCAATCCAAATCCAAATCCTCTGAATCTGAAAAACCGATTCTTGCTTCCTTGCTGTGCCTGGCAGCGGCCGCAGACGGGGCAGCCGCCGCCGACGGGGCGGCGTCGGAGCAGAAGTCGCTGGAGATAATGCGCAAGTTCTCGGAGCAGTACGCCCGCCGCTCCAGCACCTTCTTCTGCTCCGACAAGTCCGTCACCGCCGTCGTCATCAAGGTCACCCTCCCTCCTGCTGCTCCTAGATGCCACTCTTGTTGCAGCCTCGATTGATGGTAGCTTCGATTGATTTCACCCGCACCGTCGCACTCACGCCATGACGCCGGTATCTAACTATTCCACCAAACCAGTCAGAACCAGGCTCTCATCTTCTCTGCTAGCTACCAGCCGCTGCAAATGCCGGCTGATTAAGGTCAAACAGCGCGTTCATGCCGGCGGCGGTACACATCAAGGAGTTCATTTATATACCTGCTGGTGGTGCTTCTCTAATGATGTGATGTGCCTCCTTGATGATTGATTGATTGATTGGTTCAAATTAAGGTCAAACAGTGTTCGTGGCGCTAGTGTAAATCAAACAAGGGTCACCTAACGGCCACACTGATGATGTGTCTGCGCCTCACCTTGATGATCAATTGATTGTTAACTGAAAGGAAAACCTTTTTGCAGGGGCTTGCTGACCACAAGGATCAACTCGGAGCACCTCTCTGCCCCTGCAGGTAGTACAGTATTAAATCGCCTCCAGCCTTCTTAGCAACGTATCGTCCGTTTTTTGTTTCTGACAGACAAGTGGGTTAATCATATAGGCATTACGACGACAAGGCCGCCGAGGCGGCACAAGGGTTCTGGAACTGCCCGTGCGTCCCCATGCGAGAAAGGTGAGGCTGCCGTTTCCAAGTTCTCGCCTTCTGTTATATCACTTATTACGGTAGCGTGTATAACAAGGATGGGATGGGATGCTCTTTTTTCTCATCGTGTTTAAATGCCAGAGATGTACCAGAGGGTTCAGTTCTAACCCTCTTTGGCTTCTTATCATTGTCCGACATAGGAGTATGTTCCTTTCTGCTGCGTACCCATCTCGCATCATTAACTGTGATTCGCCACCGGAGCACAAGGTAGCCAGATGCGTATCTCCGGTGATGTTACCGTATATTGTTGATAAATACCAGCATTACTTGTGCATAGCGGTAAACAACCGTGGCACGCAATCCGTGCTGGCTTTCAACTGGAAAGGGATTTTATTACAGCGAAAGCTCGGTTAGAATCATCTGTTCTTCACCCACTTGTGCGTCGCAGTAAACAATTACCGTGGAATGTAAGGGATATCAAGTGAAAGCTCGGTTAAATCATATGTTCTTGACCCACTTGTTCATAGCAGTAAAGAACTACCGTGGAATGTAAGGGATGTCAAGTGAAAGCTCGGTCAGAATAATTTGTTCCCCACCCACTCATGTTATTATAGTAAATAAACAGCCATGAAACATAGTTTAGTTTCTGCTGGTATGTTGTGACCTGGAAAGTATAAAAAGGGGAAATCTCGGCTATAGCAATCTGGTCTGTTTCTTCAACTTTGTGATCTGCTTGTGCAGGAAGGAGTGCCATTGCATGCTTTTCCTTACGCCCGACAACGATTTTGCCGGAGAGGACCAGGCACGTCTCCGTTTTCTTTCCGTACTGTCGGTACCACAGCTTCAGATACTGCCTAGCTCCGTATCATCATCTCTTTCTTACACGCGCACGCATAACTGTTGCAGGCTATCAGCTTGGAGGAGATCAAGGAGGCGACGTCCAAGTACTAACCACACAACACTTGTTTTGCTCAGAGAGGGGGCTATAGTCGGTCGTCGTTGTCGGGACCTGTATATGTAGTATCTCTGTAACAACAGGAAATAAGAAATGCCTGTCTGGAATGATGTCTGTTGTCATCCATCTTGAGAGAAATTAAGGGCCTGATGGTTGCACTCCCGACTCGTCAATGTTGCGATTTATTGTGTGTTTGGGCTGGCGTAAAGCGTACTCCATGAGAAGTGAAGTGAAGGATGTTGTGTGAGACGTCTGTCTCCGATGCTTCTTTTTCTTCCTGAATGAATGAATGATGTGTGGAAGGGAAGCAACAGCGACGCGCCATTGCCCATGTCCGTGGCACCCAACAACTTATATTTTCTCAATGTTATTATTATTATTATTATTGTGTCTTGTGTTATGCATCTATTGTTGCTTTTGCAGCCACGCTGTTATATGTATGTGCGATTCGCTCCACGTGACGCCGATGATGATTCGCTCCATGTGTCGTCGGTGATGACCGAGCGTTTGAGTGAAACCGAAAAGCTAAGCTAAGCTCATTTCCAGGTTAACTGATCAGCAGGTATTACCATTTGGTCTACAAGAATTGTGTTCTTTGTTATGCAATCTCTGTTTTGCTTTTGCAACCACCAGGTTCAATTCGCTCGAGGTGGCCTCGGCGATGATCGCACGTTGGATGAAACGAAACGAACCGAAAACCGAGTGCATTTCCTTTGACCTGATGAGCAGAAGAAGAGCAAGGCCATTGTCACCTCTTTAATCAGTCTGAAAATATTAGCAGGGGAATTCTCACCGGGGATTGATTAGATTCGACGTGGGCGATGGAGCGGCGGCAGAAGAAACGGAGGAACCCTAGCCAGGTGATTGCCAGTGGGTGATGGGGAGTGAGGAGGAGTGGTTGCAGTTAGGCTGGCTAGATAGGTAGTAGAAGTCCATCACTCACTATCAATGGAAGGGGAAGGGGAAGGGAAGGGCACCCACCAATCAATCAGTCTCACTCACTGACTTAAGTGTGTCTATGTAGCTTGTGCTTCATCTTTTTTCTCCCTTTCCCACGGCTCCATCCATCATTATTCGTCGCTGTCCGGGTTTTTATTGCCGCAGCAGTACATAAACATTACAAATAATTGCTATGTTGTTGTTACAAATGTGATGCACATCCATCATCCTTGGGGTGCTTGTTTGCCATGGCTCCTCAGCAGGTAAAGCTTCTTCTCTCCATCCATCTTGATGCATGTCCATTCAACAATATGCATGTCTTGAAGATGGTTCCTTCAAGCAGGAGAGCAACAAGGACGACGGTGCCGCGATCACGCCGACGATGGAGGAGGAAGAGGAGGAGCACCATCGCCATGGCGAGCGGCCGCTGCTGTCGGCGTGTGAGCAGGAGGATGGCAGCAAGCCATTGCCATTGCCGGTGAAGAGGAGGAGGAGGAGCAGCAGCCTGAGCAGATCGTCAAGGTCAGGCGAGCAGGGGCGGGATGAGGAGGCGCCTGGCCCCGGCCCCGGCGGCGCCGCCCGGTCGCTGTCCTTCTCCAGGCTCTTCAGCAGCTTCAGGATGATGGCCACCTCCTCCTCCACCTTGGACATTGACGAGCTAGCAGCCGCCGAAGACGGATGCGCGGCTCTCAACCCTCATCATCAGCAGCAACAGCCGAAGCCGGTGTGCCGGACGCAGTCGCTGCCGATGACGAGCATCTCCAGGAGGCTCCCCGGCAGGAAGCGGGTGGCGGACTCGAGCTCCCTGCGCCGGCTCCGGGTGTCGTCGCTGTCGTCCGCGCCATTGCCGGAATCAGCGTCCCCGCCCTCTTCGCCGTCACCGTCGGAAGAAGAGGAGGTGGGGGAGGAGGAGGCGGTGTGCCGTATCTGCATGGTGGCGCTGCTGGAGGAGGAGGAGGAGGAGGAGGAAGGAGGGGCAGGTGCAGGGGCCGGCGACGGCGTGCTGAAGCTGGAGTGCCGGTGCAAGGGCGAGCTGGCGCTGGCGCACCGGCGATGCGCGCTCAAGTGGTTCGGCATCAAGGGCAACCCCAACTGCGACGTCTGCGGCCACGACGTCCTCAACCTCCCCGTCACCCTCCGCCGCGTCGCCACCCCTCCCCCACCTCCTCCTCGCATCGCCACCGGCAATGGCACCGCCGGCGAGCAAGAAGAAAGAGAAAGAAGAGGGTTCAGAGGGGTGTGGCGGCACGGCACGGTGATCCTGGTGACGGTGAGCATGCTGGCCTACTTCTGCTTCCTGGAGCAGCTGCTGGTGGGCGACCACGGCAACGCCGCCGCCGCCCTCGCCGTCTCGGTGCCCTTCGCCGTCGTGCTCGGCACCTTCTCCGCGCTCACCACCGCCGGGATGGCCTCCTCCCGCCGCTACGTGTGGGCATACTCGGCGCTGCAGTTCCTGCTCGTCGTCCTCTTCACCCACCTCTTCTACCGCTACGTCAACCTCCAGGCCGTCATCGCCATCATCCTCTCCGCCTTCGCCGGCTTCGGCGTCGCCATCTGCGCTAACGCCGTGCTGCTCCAGGCCGCCCGCTGGAGGGCCGCCGTGGCCGCCCGCCGCCCCCCGCCGCCGTCGTCAGACCTCGGCATCCCTCAGCCATAGACAACATACATATACATATATATACTCTGCTGTGCTCTACTCTCTTACTGTACATATACCAGTTACCTGATGGCCACCCTTCTCCCAGATTTTGTGTATGATCGTATATATAGTTTGGAAAATATGAAGACAAGAAGATGTATGTAGTAAGAAAAAGGACATCTTGCTTTTATTTGTTGGATTCTACAGTAGTTAATACGTATTTGTGTTCTCAGCATACACTTCCAGCAGCCAAGCTTAGCTATCCCTTCTCCACCTCGGACTTCATCGGCACCATCGGCACCTCGAACTTGTCTTGTCAATGGCGTAACTAATTCCCTACAACTCGTCCTTGGGCTTTGAACCGGAGCTCTTCTCGCCCTCGGCCGTCGAGCTTGAGCCATCGGTCTGTGCCGCTGACGAGTCCGGGCGCTTCAGCTTGAATGGGATGGCGGCGTGCTTCTTGAGGAACTTGTACATCTCCACCACCGTCCGGTCCCCCTCGAAAGTTATCTGCAAGAGTTTATTTAGCCAAATGAAAGCAATGAAATTGAATCAGTGGATGCCAATTTCAGCACCTGCGAGCTTAGCTAGTCCTCCTTACATATCTACAATGGCATATATGCAAATTTGCAGGGATATAAACATGGAATCCTTCCAGCAAGGAGCCGAGGACAAATCAGCGGCTACGAATCACGCGTTAAACTTAAACACGCATGCTTTAGGTGGGTTTAAGGAGTCCAGAGACAGTTCTAATCGAAGCATAGCATAGATGATATCACTGCGGAAAGCGTGTCAAGGAGATAGCTGAGGATAATGTTATTGCTGCAAACTGAAAGACAGCACATGCTAGCAAAAAAGCGAAACGTCAATTAAGTAACTTACAGGCTCGAAGCTTTTCTTCCCAGCTGGATAGAAGAGTATCGTGGGGAATCCATCGGGCTGTAATGTAACAGGAAGCAAGTGTCAGTTCCATCGGTATTCTGGAAAAGTCTACACAGTAGTGAACGGAAGAGATCGACTATCTGTATTTTCCATGTATAACTTTAAGAAAAGTTAATCAAAACGAAAACAGGGCTAAATGAAAATGCAACTTTAAAGTTTCTGTATCAGTGAATCAGATCCTTTGCATAACAGTCATAATCTTAATACTGTTGCACTATTTCAAGATGTTGAACTCAGCGAGATAACCAGGCGGTGATATGGCACTATCCCTCAACAACCTGGCGACAGTGTTTGTCTCTGAGGCTCAACTCGACTTGTTCCATAAGACTCAAGCTCTATCTCTATCATCCTAACCAAATCTGGCAATAGATGGTACGCACCGGCACGGGTTACCTCTTTAACCCATTAGACAAAATGTACCATGATACTGTAGCATATGGATAAATAGGAGACGAATAAATATATTTAGCACATATATAGATGGCAGCAGACAGATAATGGACCTCTACTTTCTGTGCACCATAAACAAGTGCAACTGCACATTTGAGTGAAGAAAGTGTTAAAATAGCTTCTACACGTTTTATAACTAGTATTGTCTTCATATAAAATGTATGTACAGGTTCTATGACTGTTGATGGCCCGGCACTCAGACTAGTCTAGCAAGTAATATCCAGTTTGAAGAAGTCAACAGACAGCGACACAGACCTTGGCACGGGGATGCTCATTGTTTGTGCCGTCCATTTTGGCTATTACAAGGGAGTCAATCCCACGGAGATACTTGGCCAGCTTGTTGTAGATAGGCTCCAGTGACTGACAATGCCCACACCATGGCGCATATACCTGCGTCCAAAATGATGAGGCGTTAAGGACAACACACAATTTTTATCTTCTCAAATACCTACCTGGCAAGAACTGAACTTACCTCCAAAAGGACATCCTTTGACTCATCCAAAACTATTTGATCTAGACTCTTGCCAACAACAACTTTGACGTCCTCATCGTTCTGCATGGGAACACAAAGAATGTCTCATCGTCGTGTAAATATATAATGATAGAGAAAAGAGATATCAGATAATTCTTCTCGACTCACGGATTCAGGTACTGGGTCAGACTTGTAGGATGGTGTGAGCTTGTCCTCCAGGAAATCTTGAGCAAATTCCTGGGTATTAACAAGAAGTAGAAAGATTTTTGTAAGGAACATTGTAATTTCTTGAACAATGATACTTGATACCATCCTACCCAACAACATTAGCAGAGCCTCAACATCAGTAATGATGAATCGGCAATGACAATATTGGTTACATAGAGCATCTTCTACAGACAAGTGCTAGTTTGGCGAAAGATGAGAAAATATACACGGACATGAAAGTTTCTGAAGCAACATGTAGCACGGTATAAGCAGAAATATACCGCGGTATAAAAAAGAACAGCATAAATCATCAAATAACAAAAAGCAAAAACACGTTCGTCAGCTTATATATTGCTAACATACTATATTCTTATGATTTTACTTCCAATCTGGAATTTGCAAAAATATTTTAAGCAATTACCTTAATGGTGTCCAGTGATATTTCACCACTGAAGAAGAACTTCTTAGCATCTTCATTCCCAGTGTAAGCAAGAACCTGCAAAGCAATCAAATCAGCATGTACAAAACAGAAAGAGCAGACACATTAAAATCAAAGTCAAGTTGCTGCATGCTGTTTCTGTGCAATAAATCAAAACACAGACAAACATGGCAAAAAATAAGAGGCATTACTGTGGTCTCATGTCCAGTGATTCCAAAGTAATTGGCGACAGGTTCGCCAACTTCCTCATTGTCACGCTCCACAAAGACAAATAAAAGCTGCATTTGAGACACAGGCCACGTCAGTGCTTAGTGAGACTCCACCTCGGCAAACACACGAGTTAGAAAGGAAATAAGTGATGGCTTGGATTTGAGTATAAAGCGTGGAACACGACAGAGGAAAAAAGTTCATGAAACATTGGTCCGATCAGCAGAAAAAAATACCTTCCCCTTGAATGATTTTGCTGTTTCCTTGATGATGGGCAGAAATTTTGAGGACTCCTTCGCAACAGCAAAAAGCAAAATCTGATTTCGAAATTAGAAGACAGCAGATCAGCAAAGGAGTGATACATGGGCCGAGAACATGATGAAAATAAAACACCAAGGCACACAGCATGACATACTTGCTTCTTGATTGGATTATCGAAAATCGCAGGGGCGGTCTCCTGTGTGAGGGTGGTGATCAATGGGATTTTGTTGGCCGAAACAAACTCGGCAATCGCAGACGCTCTGAACTCGCCATCTGCAAGACACATGGTACATTATTATCCAATTGAATGGCCAAACCAAAACGTGTAAAAATGGAAAGGAAAGGCTGGCGCTGAAAGCCAAAGCAGCTTGGAGGTGAAGATACCAAAAACGGTCAACTTCTCCTCCTCTTTCTTCAGCAGAACTATGGATGGACGCTTTGCTTCCGGGTCAATGTGGAAAAGCTTGGCTACATCGGGGCTTGTAGTCTGATAAAAGCTGATGGTATCTTCCAGCCTTGAAGCAGCAGCAAGCTCATCACTGTGAGCACCCTATATCATTTGATGACACAGTAATTTAATGATTCATCACCATAGTGTATATATATATATATATATATATATATATATATATATATATATATGCAGCGCAGAATTAGAATAGCCAAAAATACAAGCGCATCTCGGATTTGTTTTCAGTACATGGTAACAGAGTAACAGATCATGCAGGTTGACATTTTATCTAGTAGTGAGCAAAGGAATCATGGAACAGACGAAATGTAATTTTGGATCAATCTGGGGTAACATGGCCACATGGATGGTTGCTGCAATTCAAGCCTAGAAGCAGCAGCAAGCTCATCACTATGAGCACCCTATAACATTCAATGATAGAGTAATTAAGGATTTTATCACAATGTTATATGCAAGTGTCGCTAAACATATGAGCGCATCCGGGAGCCGTTCTCAGCACATGGTAACAGAACATGTAGGTTGACATTTTATCTACTACTAGTACGTAGTAGTGAGCAAGCAAAAGAACAAGGGCATTCAGAAATACAGGTGCATTGTACCGATGGCTAAACATACGGGCGGATCTCAGATTTGTTCTGAGCGCATGGAAGCAGAACATGCAGGTTGACATTTCATCCAGTGAGTTAAGTTAACAGAATATTCAGGGGAACTGAGAAAAACAGGTGCATTGCATTTGTGGTCAGCTAATTTGGGGTAACATGGATGGCCACATGAGCTGTTTGGTTGTGATTCAAGCACTGTATTCTTGGGTCAATCTGGGTAACATGGTTTGGAATTGAAGAAATTTGTGGTTTGTTTGACTTTGCTGCCACATGAGAAGGCGCATTGCGTACCGAGAGGTGGTCGAGGAAGGCGAGCACGGCCACGTCGTCGCCGGTGACGATCTTCTCGGCCTGGTCGACGTCGGTGAGGTTCTGCACCGCAGGGCCCAGCTTCTTGCTGATCCAAGCCACGATGGCGTCCCTGCAGCAAAGCAAAAAGAAAAATTCTCAGCAGCTGCGGAGCTGGAGCAGGGAGGGAATTGGGGATCTGCGAAAATCCTCACTTGGTCCTCTCGCCGGAGTAGTCCCTGGGCACGCCGTCGATGAAGAAGAGGAGGGTGGGGTAGCCCTGCACGTCGTGCGCCTGCGCCAGGTCGTGGTCCTCGGTGGCGTCCACCTTGGCCAGCGCGACGTCGACCCCCTGCTCGGCGAGGTGCGCCGCGGCGGCGGCGTAGTGGGGGGCCAGCGCGCGGCAGTGGCCGCACCAGGGCGCGTAGAACTCGACCATCACGTGGCGGCGGGCCGCGAGGACGGCGGTGAAGTTGGCGGCGGTGAGGAGGAGCACGTGGGCCTCGTCCACCTCGGGGCCCTGGGAGGAGTCCTCCGGCCCGTCGTCGTCGCCGAAGAGGTCCTCCTCGTCGTAGTCGGCGTCGAGGCCGGGGAAGTCCGGAGCGCCGTCCTCGGGGTCGTCGTCGGGGGTGGACGGAGCGTCGTCGAGGCCGGCGTTCTTGATGAGGTACTCCAGGTCGA